TCATGAAATCCCTTGAATTCCCCCACCACAAAGCGGCCACTATTTCCAGCCGGTTCCCGCGTGAATCCATACAAAAGCCCGAATTGGTCATCCGCTACTTCAAATCCCTTGCCCTCTCCACCGCCCATATGCAGTCAGCAGTCAGACGCGAACCACTTGTCTTATACGCAGATGTTGACACGACCCTCAAGCCCAAAGTCGACTTCTGTCAAGAACTGGGCCTGCGTGGACCCCACCTGCCCATCCTAATCGCCAAGAACCCGAAACTCCTAACCAGCAGCCTCAACAAAAAGCTAAAACCGAGCATCGGGGTCATCAAGAGAGTCCTTGAGTGCTACCGGGGAAAAAGTACAGATGACAAAATTAACCTTCTCCTTTTCCACATACTCTCAAGGTACGGCTGGGACATTGGGAATCAGGCGAGACTTGAGTCCACCATAGCCTACCTTAAGAGTTGTGGGATAGTTGGCTCTCAACTGATCATGCTTCTGAAAACTGAGCTTAGGTTGTTCTCCATGCGGGAGCCTGAGCTTAAAGGACTCGTCTCGCAGGCTGTCGAGATGGGCTTCCAAATGGGCTCAAGAATGCTTGTCTACGGTGTTCATGCACTCTACAGCAATAGCCCAGAGACTATTAGCAGAAAGTTTGGGCTGTTTGAAGAGCTTGGATTTAGAAAAGAGGAGTGTAGTTTGATGTTTGTGAAGGCACCCATGGTTTTCAAGGCGTCTTAAGACAAGCTGAGGTGTTCGGTGGACTTCTTCATCAATACTCTCGGGTTTAACAGGTCGCTGCTGGTGGGGTCTCTTTTCTTTTGAAGTTCAGTTTGGAGAGGAGGATGGTGCCGAGGTTGAGAGTGATGGAGTTGGTGAAGTCGAGGGGAGTTCTGAAGAGGCATCCGAGTTTTGTTACGGTGTTGTTGATGATGGAGGACGAGTTTGTGAATCAGTTTATCTCCAAATACGGCAAGGATTTGAAAGTGGCTTACGAGAAATGGCGTTTGGGGTCTTCCTGACTTCCCGATATCAAGCATTCTTGTGTGTGCGTGTGTATGGTGGATGTGTGTGTGTTTATTTTCATTTATATTATGAGGATTCTGTAATTTGCCAAGGTTTTAATTTTTCTTATGTTGGCGCACATTGTGATTTTGGTAAGAGGAATCATGTGGATTCTTGAACATGATACCCTTAATTTAATCTTCAGCTGAGCTAACTAGTTAATAAGCTTCTGGATAGGATACCATGGCTGGCTACAAAAAAATTAAAAAAATAAATTAAAATAAAGTAAAAAATCATCATTTTGTTAAAGCGTCTGATACGAGTTTTAAAGCATGCCCTTTATCTCCTGCTTTTAAACAACAAGTGATGGAAAGAAGTCAGAACATATACAAAATTTTGAGTTTCATATAATCATATCACTATTTTTGTCCCTTTATGTGTTTCTGTTGTGAATGTGTGTCTTTGTTGTGGTGTTTATTCTTCTCAATAGGATTCTTCAGTTGTGGGGGAGATAAGGGGGTTTTCTTTAGTGGACTAGAATTTTCCGACCACTAGATATAAGCCGATTGAATCCTCTATTTTTGTCGTCGTTCTGATCATCGTAACCAGTGAAAAAACCGGCGTCCGCCATGGCCTGGACCGGAGCTTTCGCTTCCGACAGCCATGACTCACCGTCTTCCACTCACTCCTCTATGGCTCCCAAGCCCATCTGCAGCCAGCCGCGAACAGGCGGCCTCCCACTCCACACAGCCGAAGCCGCCGGATAACCCGACCGCAACCACCGTTGCAGGAGGAAGCAATTTTCATCCTGCATAATTTCCATTATGAATAGAGTTTAGAAGCATAACTAAGCATTATATGGAGAAAAATTGCTCTGAGGATTGAAATGGCCAACATTATTCCTCTACTCACATTTTTCTCAAGTTTATCCATCCTACTGATAAATTTCTTCAGCATACATTTCATCTCAGCATCCTTGCTTGCACTTGGCCCACTTGACATGACATCTTCTTCTTCTGTACACGAGTGCAGATCTAGAAATTTGAATGAGTGGGGGCCGAAGTTGTTTATGTAACTAACCATGCAAATCATAAAATTAAATTATAGGTTGCATTTGTATATATATATATATTTCAGAATCTTGTGTCATCTGAAAATAGATATAACAACAGTGAGGTAGATTTGAAATTGTGAATGAATACAAGATAAAAATATAATGATCAACAATTGAAAATATGTTAGTAATCAATTATAATATTATTAATAGAAAGTATAAAATAATATGAATTTATTATAATTTATTTGTGTTAAGTGTAGATAAAAAAAGTGGGAAAAAATAAATGTTATTTTTATAATTTTTTTTTATTTTTTTTTTGTTTTTTAGTCTTAACATGACAAATCTTGAGAATGAAAAGAAAATAAAAAAGTAATATATCCAACCGATGTTTCTTCTTTTATTTTCTTTGAAGTTTTTTAAAAAATAGATTAACTATTAATCATAAATATGATTTAAAGTTATTTTCATGGAAAATTGTATGTTTACGTGAAATATTAATTAACTAAAAATTTTTATTCTTCTTACTTAACTTATATTATGTAAATAATAATTATTAATAAGTTCAAATTTAAGCAAAATAGGGTAAAAATTGTTGATGCCTCAAAATAAAAATAAATAAAAAGTAATTAATAATGGATAAACAAAATGCTATAAGTCTTTTTATAATTTGAAGAGAGAGATACAATTATATCTTCCTAAATACACCTACATAATGCAAATTAAATTTTTTCATTAATATATAAACCTAAGTAAACTTTGAAAAATTCACTGTGGGCCTAGGCCCACACTCGTCCTTTAATGGCTCCTCCTGTCTATACAATAATGAAATTCATCTTCTTATGCACAAGGTTTTTCGTGCACTTACTCTGTATCACAGGGGTGCCTCATGTGTACTTCCAGACCCATGATCATTCGCCACACAATTTTGCAATTTAAGAGTATTCTTGCTTACGTACATTGATTATGAAGACAACAATTCGTAACTACTATTCTTTTTATTTGTTATTTTGGCTTTATTGATCATTAATCAAATAAATGACGTTTTGGATTTTTTATACATATTATATGTTATCCGGCTATGCACAAACTTGTAATATTAATGGAAGCTTTTTATTTGAATGATGTGATTATAGTTGAAAACATTGAGATAAAAATCAAATTATTTATATATTATTAAACACTTTCTTGTACATAACATTCTTTATTAGAGATTGGTACATCGTCATGTCCCCAAATTAAAGTCTTCAAAATGAACAACTATATACAATTAACCCTGACTGAACACCAATTTTTTCAAGAACAAACCAAGACGTGATATCCTCCCCCCCCTTCATTTGACATATTATATCTCGTCACATCCTTCTTATTTTTGTATTTGATATGGTATCTCTTGATAAAATATAATATATATGTTTTTTTAATTTAAATTGGCATCATAGTTTTTAAACTCGGCCTGGGAATCGACTCAGGCAGGTCTCTGAGTCACTGGGTCACCGGTTCAACCGCCGGGTCACCGGGTTAATTGATGAACCGGATATTTAATTTTAAAATTTTTAAAATTATGTATAGAGTATTTTGTCATATAAATATACATAAAAGTGACAATATTAAATATTTTGCATATAAAATTTGTATATTAAAGTGTTAATAATATATATTTCATGTTAAATATTTACCATATAAATATATATACATAGTTTTATTTTTTAAAAAACAAATAATATTTTAATATATATATATATATATATATATGGGTCGAGTCAACCGGGTAGACCCAGCCAGATCAATGCCCCGAGTCGACCGGGTCAAGGCCGGGTTGTTCGGCTTTGATCGGATCCTTTGTTGCCCGGTCCAAATAGCCCACCCGGACGAGTTCCGACTCCGAGAACCGGGCCGGTCCGGGTCTCAAAACTATGGCATATATCACAATTAACGCGTTGAAATGATTTGCAAAGATTGATTTGTATCGAGATTGGCGTTTAAAGCGTGTGCTACATTTATAAACAATTGTCACTCCGATAATTTGTTACATAAACAAATGTTATCACTCCAACTTGTTAGGAACATAATACTTTTGAATTTTGTAATCATGCCAAACTCATCCGAAAATATACTATTTACTAGTAAAACACCCGTGTAGTACACGAGTGCTTGCTAATATTTTTTAAAGTCCAAAATTAATGAGAAAAAGTGGTTGAAAATTTAAATACCTATAAAAATAGTATATATTGTGCGACTTTGGGTTCTATTAGGAATGTCGACAATGTGCACATTCAAATCTATTGAATAATAAATCCTAATGCAGCGGAATCTATAGTTAGGATTATGACTTACGGTTTAAAATTTTTGCCTACTCTGTGACGTTTCTGATTTCCGTTGATGGAGATCGTCGTCTGAACACCCAAGTGCAATGGGCAGCTGGACTTGGCCTTTGTCGATTCTAATCGAGTCATCAAGGTGTTCCAATCGCTCATCAAGCTCATTGGATCGTCTCGGACCTTCGGTAAGTAAGTCGGACTACTCGGGAACCATCATGGACTCGAACTGGGGCTGCTGGACCGAGACAGACAGGTTTGCAGCTTGCTGCACACGCCAGGACGCTTCTGGGCTTGTTTGACGTGCAATGGGCTGAAGGAACACGCACTGGCCCACCTTCCACGTCGCTGGACTGCACCAACAACGAATTGGGTCGTAGTGATGCTGCAATTGGGCCGCAAGAAGGAGCTGGGCCAACACGCGGGCCGTGCGCGGGCTTCTCGTGGGCTACAACGGGCTGAGGCGTGAGGCAGTGCGGGTTCAGGTGCGGGCTTACAACGCGGGCTCTCGCGAGCCGACGACTGGGAGACGGATCGGGCTATACGCGGGCTGCGCGCGGGCTGTACAGCCCGCGTGTCTTT